AGACTCGGCTGGGTGGGGAGGCGCCTCGATGCTGCTTGGAGCCTCAGTTTCCCGGTCCACAGTGCATAACCATTAACCCTTGCCTCCCTGGATCAGGTGAGGCAATGGAACGCAAAGGGGTCCTGGCTGGCAAGAACCACCTGTACCTAAGTGTTCTGAGGCCAGGCCAGCACCCCCTGCACAGCTCCAGGCACACATCAGGGAGCCAGCCCCCACTGACTGAACCGGGACACGTGCCAGTGGTCCGCCAGGGCAGTAGTTTACAGTTTGCAACACTGTAACCCAGTGGTGTGCCAGCCAAGCCTGGCTGAGTCCTTGGCTCCAGCGGCCAGAGAGGAGCTTTCGGCATCCTATCGGGGAGGCTTCGGAAACCAGGCTGGTTCTTCCCACCCTCACGTTCTGCAACCCCAGACCTTGGCCACTTATTGAGTCTCGCCTATAAAATAAGAACAACAGTGTCAGCCTTTGGTGCATCTGTGAGGAAGAAGAGGAGTGCAACAGAGGCTTAATTTCATACCTGCACCCTCCTCCCACATCCCCCCAAACACAAGCAGCACTGTCTTGGGTCCCAGCGGGAGGAATTTCTACCATGGAGGATGTCACTGCTGGACCCAGAATCCCAGCTGGCTCTTGGGTCAAGTTCATCTGGGGATGGCTTCTGCACCCATTGCAACCCCCAGGAAGGGGTGTGGTACAGGGACATGGGGCAGGTGGAGCAGGAATGGGTGGCAGGAACTGTGGACCCGCCTGACCCTGCTGTGTGATCTCAGCCACCCGCCTCCCTCGGACCCAGCTCCCAATACACTGTGATGTGTCGCTTTGGTGGCCGCTTGTCCTCAATGCATCTTCTCACCACCCCCGTGGTCAAAAGCAGGTCTCAGTGGGGCTGGGAGATCCTGGAGATGCCAGTTATGATGAGCCCCCAGCCCCGTGTCACAGTGGGCACTTCTGACAGAGGTCTCACTGGCCTGGAAGACCTAGGCCTTTTCTCAGTGCAGAAATCCTATAAATCCTACAATTCTAGACCCCAGTGTTTCTGCACCCTTTGGAGCTGGGCGTGATTTCTGGAAACCCTTCTTCGGACAATAGATGGAGAAAATGCCCCGGCTCCCACAGCCCAGGGACTGGCCATATCTCCAGGGTCTTCCACGGGAACAACAATGGCCTCTTTCCTACTCAAGCTCCCTGGGACTGAAGTTTCCAAAAACAACATTTTCTCACCGCAACAGGCCAGCAGGAAGTTTTCCCTTCTGGCCACTGAGGTCTCTTCTGTTGTGATTACACGGGGACCGACATCCCTGATACTTCAGTGGCGCAGAACTATCTGCCCCCAGGTTTGAGAACAACACAGGACGTGGCGAGGGAGGGTCGTAAGAGGGGCTGGAGAACGAACTGAGCTGTAGTGAGGTGGTTCCCAGGGCAGAATCCTACGGAATGCCACAGCTCTGGATTCCAATCCCAAAGCAGCCACTTGCTCTGGGACCTGGGGCCACCTGGTGTCTTTGTCTACAAAATGGAAATCATGATAGCATCTAGGTAAGCGGAGTTGTTTTGGGATTTAAGTTGAGATAATTCACATAAAAGGCACTTTGCATGTCATTTTTGGAATAGTCGAAGGTGAGCCGGAGACCTGAGCTCTCCCACCGCAAGAACCAACTTGCGGCGTGACTTTGAACAAATTCCTGCCCCTGGGCCTCACTTGGACCACATGCTGTCCAGTGGCCCCACTCTCAGAGAGTCTGTCTTGCCCACTCCTCCCACCTTAAGGGCTTCCCAGTCTTGACCTTGAGCTTGCCAAGGTTTATGAGATTTGTTTTCCCCCAAGACCCCCACCCATCTGTCACCCTGACTGTGCCCTGGTCCTCTGCTCCATCTGAAACTGTAAATGGAACTTTTACATATCAAGCTTCTGTCCTGGGCTGGCCCTGGGGAAGAGGGTTCCCAACACGTCTTCTAGACTCACAGCAGCCCCTTGAGACTTCAGAGGAGGAGGCCAGAGAAGGGGAGACACTTATCCAGGCTCACACAGCAGCACAGCAGAACTAAAATCTACCTCTGGAAGTCTTCAAAGCTCCTATCATGTTAAAAATGTTTTGATTTGGAGAATATTGAACATACATAAAAGTAGATAGAATTGTTTAATAAATTCCTATGTCCCCGTCACCCAGCCCTGACCACCGTGGTATCTCCTGCCCCTGTGCACCTTCTCTGTTATTCGCCAGGAAATCTCAGACATCACATCATGTCATCTGTCAATGTTTCAGTATATGCCTTTAAAGGATAAGGACTCTCTTTTTTAACATAAACAAATTAACAAAAATTCTTTGATATCACCATTATGCCATCAGTATTTAAATTTCCGGTTGTCTTGTACATGTAATAAATGTTTTAAAATACGTTTTTGAAATCAAGATCCAAATAAGATCAGTACATCACAATGGGTTTACATTTCTCTTTACAGGTTCTCTCTTCAATGTTTTGTTCATTTTCTTTCTTGCAATCTATTTATTAAAGAAACCGGACCCTTTGTCAATAGTTTCCCTGTGTATGAAGTTTGTCAATTACATCCCGGTTCTATGTTTAACTTGTTCCTCAGCCCTGGGTATTTCCTGTAAATTGGACATTGGATCTAAAGGCAAAGCCCATGTCATTGACCTATACCAAATACTGCCCCTGTTTAAACCAAAAGAACCCTCTGATAGCAATAGAATAGCTCATGTTTACTGAGTATTTATTACACAACAGACATTGTACTAAGTGTTTTACATGCATTAATTCATTTCATGTTCACACCAGCCCTGGGAGGTAGATACTACTGTTCCCCATGGCTGCTGGAGGTCACACAGCTAGGAAGTACCACAGGGGTCACAACCTTGTGATTAAAAGATTTAGGGAAAGCTGGGCACTGTGGCTCACACCTGCACTTTGGTAGATCAAGGCAGGAGCATCGCTTGGCCCAGGAGTTTCAGACCAGCCTGGGCAACATGGCAAAACCAAAAATGAAAAAATTATCTAGGCACATACCTATAGTCCCAGCTTACTGATAAATGAAGAAATTAGTGTTGCACGCCTGTCCTCTCAGCTACTGAGGAGGCTAAGGTGGGAGGATTCCTTAAACCCAGGAATTCAAGGCTACAATGAGCTACAATCACACCACTGCACTGCAGCCTGGGCAACAAAGCAAGACCTTGTCTCAATTAAATTAAAAAGAAAAAAGGGGTTAGGGAGATTGGGCCCCGCCCAGCCCCTGTGTGACCAGGGTTGGGGAGAGAGGTCAGTCGAAAGAATGGCCGTGCTTCATGGGGAGTAAGAGGGCACAAGGCCCCCATGTCTAGGGAGGGCAGGTGCGTCGCTGGGGGTCTGAAGGCTGCCCCCGAGGCTCATGCATCTCCTTTTGTTTCCATAGATCTGGTCTTGGAGAGGTGTGATCTGGAGCTGGAGACCAATGGCCGAGACCACCACACGGCCGACCTGTGCCGGGAGAAGCTGGTGGTGCGACGGGGCCAGCCCTTCTGGCTGACCCTGCACTTTGAGGGCCGCAACTACGAGGCCAGTGTAGACAGTCTTACCTTCAGTGTCGTGACCGGTGAGTACCTGCATCCTCACTCCACCACCACCACCACCACCACCTCCTCTCCACCCTGACATGTCCCAGACCCCTGACAGAGAACAAAACAAATAACTTTACCCCTCTTTGTTCCCTGGGAGATTGCCACCTGTCATTAGCCCCATTTTAGAGATGAGGGAACTGAGGCCCTGAAAGGGAGAAGATGTCACGCAGACCACCAGCTTTGTGAGCAAGTCTGTGCCTCTGGACCCCTGAGCTTCTGAAAGCCTATTATCACCAGGGTTGCAGGTCAGCCTTCAACGAGGAAAGCTGATCAAGATCCCATCTACAGGCCGGGCGCGGTGGCTCACACCTGTAATCCCAGCACTTTGGGAGGCCGAGGTGGGTGGATCACCTGAGGTCGGAAGTTCGAGACCAGCCTGACCAACATGGAGAAACCCCATCTCTACTAAAAATACCAAATTAGCTGGGTGTGGTGGTGCATGCCTGTAATCCCAGCTACTTGGGAGGCCAAGACAGGAGAACCCGGGAGGCAGAGGTTGCGGTGAGCCGAGATCATGCCATTGCACTCCAGCCAGAAAGAAAAAGTGAGACCCCCTTGGGGAAAAAAAAAAAAAAAAATTCCATCCACAAGCCAGGCATGGTGGTACATGCCTGTAATCCCAGCTATTTGGGAGGCTGAGGTGAGAGGATCATTTGAGCCTAGGTCTTTGAATCCAGCCTGGACAACATAGCAAGACACCACCTTAAAGGAAAAAAGAAAAAGATCCTGTCTGCCCTTTCCCATATCAAAACAACTTTCTAATCCCTCTGCAGCCTGAAATCTATGCAACCCAGCCAGGCACCTGCATCAGGCCCAAATCAGGCCTGGGTGGCAGAGAAAGAGCCCAGTTGGCTTCAGCCTTCTATATGAGCAGTTCTGGGTCCCAGCAGTTCATTCTCCAAGCATTTGGCAGCTGCCTCAGTCTCTGAGGCTGGACAGAGAGACCTGGATTCTAGCGCAGGCTGGGTTGCCTACCTGCTGTGTGACCTTAGGCAAATTACTTAACCTCTCTGAACCTGAGTTTCGTTATCTGAAAGCCCTCATATTGCAAGGTTCTTAAGTGTCTGCTGTGGGGGAGGGCCTGTGGATGTTTGCAGCTGTTGCTTATCTTCGTACTGGGGCCGCAGGAATGAGTAAAGGGATGCCAAGGCCCCAGGCATCTCATCCCCAGATGCGTCGTGCCCAATTTTCTTTGTTGGCCATTCCTGGGAAAATGCCCTCAAATGCCAAATTAGTGGGGCTGGTTTCTGGTGGGAGCCACTCCCTTGAGGTCAGTGAGGGGCCACCTGGCTAGGACTCGGGGTGGGAAAGGCCAACTCTTTCTGAAGTATCCGAGGGCAGAGATGGCAGCAAGCATTCCTTGGCTGAGGCCTGCATTGACCTAGAAGGCCGTTGATAAGGCTTATCATGGGGACTGCAGGCTCGCCTCGAATACCTCCTCCATCCGTCTGCTCCCTGCCCCTGGCCTCCTGGTAGAGACACACCCATTGCCCAGGAACTCCCCCCATAAGCACCCTGGCCCCGTAGGTCACTTGCTAACAGAGCCAAGGAGTCCCCAGCAAGTCTCTGACCTTCCAGCCTCAGTTTCCCCCTCTACGAAGTGGAAAGTGAGGGTACGTGGCAGTTAAGGACTGGATCTGGTGGCCTGAGAAAAGTCAGGCTTGTGGTAGTGAAAATCACAACATCTATGGCACACCCGCTGAACGCATGCTTGTCTTGAATCCTCGCAGCTTAGAAGTTATAAAGGACTCCATTCTGCAGACAGGAAAGCTGAGGCTCAGAAAGGTAGTCACTGGCTCAGGAGGGTCAGTCACACAGTGAGTTAGGGACACAGAAGGCTTCAAACCCTGACCGCAGGGTGAGGCTTTTCATCCGTACCTCCCTGCAGTAGGCACATTGATCACAAGTGCCTGCCGGGTCTCAGTGTGTTCCTCTGTGAAATGGAATGGTAGGTGAGCTGCTGGCTTGGGCAGCCTG